GACTTGAAATCCCTTGTTAACCTTGACTACTATAGCCTCCTCTCTCCCTCCCTAGGGATTGCTGACATCAAGCATTTTGTGAACATACGCAGTGCCTGCAGACTGCCAGCCCAGGGACTCCCTAAAGTGGGTATTTTCAGTTACTCAAAGAAAGAAGATACTTTAAAGTTACTCATGACTTAGGCAGGATAAATTCTGAATATTTAACATAAAGAAAGGTAAAGGTTATTTGTGGATAGAGGAGCTAATGTATGAATCCACGCTGGTGGCGATTTCTGCCTTTGCTGCACTGTTCTTGTGGAGGCCAGGCCCTGATGCCTCGGGCAGTGTGTCTCTCCAGCTCTGTCCTTCCCACCTTTATACACACCCCAACACCAGCCTAAATGCTGGTAACTGCACTCTTAGACTATCAAAAACAAGAGCCAGTTTGCTCCAAATGGAAATGCATCTGAATGGGAAACCAGTGGCCATCTATCTCAAATGAGAAAGAATTCTCAATTTTGTTGGGTAAAATTTTTGCAGTGTAATGAATGATCCCTCTCTCTCTCTCTCTCTCTCTCTCTCTCTGAATGAGATGCCCTGCGGCATCTGTGGACATCTTGTCTTTCTAGCCCAGCCTCTGGCTTCATTATCATACAGCAGTGGGTACATGTGCTCCTACCCAGCTGCCAACCCAGCAGGCATGCATACTCCATGGAGCCTGTATGAACATATTCACTGTATACTGAACACATGGGAGGCACCAGGCACCTGTAGGCTCATCATCTTAAAGATATTTTCCTTTAGTTAAAAACAGCATTCAAGTTTTCAAGATGGATGGGGGGAGAAATGATGCTCCAGACTGAACTATCACTTCCAGTGTGTGGTCCAGTCCACATTCAGAAATGCCTTTGACCTCTCCTGCAGTCAGTACATGCTTGTGATATGGGCCTTAACAAAAGGCTCCTGAGGCCTGTCCTCACTGTACACGATGTCTTCTTCCTCCACCACCTCCCAGGACACAGTTGATGTCCCTCCTCCCCAGAAAGCACTGATGTTCTTTCCTGATTTGGTTCTGCTATGTTTAAAAATATGACAAACTGGGCATGGTGGCACATGCCTGTAATCCCAGCATTTGGGAGGCAGAGGCAGTCAGATCTCTGTGAGTTCAAGGCCAACCTGGTCTACAAAGTGAGTTCCAGGCCAACTCGGGCTACAGGGAGACCCTGTCTCAAAAAGACCAAAAAAAAAAGAAGATTGATAAATCTTACACAAGGAGGAAGATTTAACACAACAATGTAGGATTTTGTTAGCGAACCCAAGCCCATCAGGGTAAGCTGCCTCTCTGGAAAGCCTTTCTTCCCAGTCTAATCTCTTTTTTTCCACAACTCATTAGTTCTCTGGGAACCAGAGGAAGGTGTTTCCTAATCATCCTGCCACAGGGAATGAGAACGTGCTGGTGAATGGAAGCCAGAGCTCTACAGCCCCACGCTGGACAGCTGTGGGTGTTTGTGCAGGACGATGGCCCCTCTGTGTTTGCTTGGGAGGTGCCCACTTCTTATCCCTGGGACCCTTCTGAGCCTCTTCAGGCTTATTGGTAACAAAGGGCTCTAGAGACCTGTGCAGTGTTTTGAGTATCAAGTACTCAAAGGGAGTATCAAGGAGGGGAGTCTAACCCACTGCCCCATGCCTGAGAGGGCAGTGGTGATTTCAGAGCATTGTCTTGGAAGACAATATGTAACCTTTCCTTTTTTGTCAGGTTAAATATGAACAATTTGAGTTTCTGTGGTCCTCACCTCACAGGAGTCACATATCTGAGGTCTGCTGAAAGGCAGACCATGGGATAGGGGTGCGAATGAAGGTTCCCAGTGGCTACAGATGATAAGCTGGGAAGGTATAGACAGACAGGGTCTCTTCTCCTCCATCACAGTTAACTGTTTCAGCCATGATCCCAGAGCAGTAGAGGGAAGTAGCATGGGTGGGCTCCCTGATTGTGCAGGAGGCCAGAGGGGGCTATATCTGAAGGGGAGAGGCTGGGAACAAGATCTTTTGGTAGTACTAGCAAAACCTAGCAGGTGCTAGCAGGAGATAGGTTTTGTGAAGGGAAGAGAACTGATGAGAACTTATCTTCTTGAGTTTCTGGAAGTTCCTGCAGCACATGGAGAAAGGGATGTTTTCAGAGAGGAAGGGCATGGTAGTTAAGGCAGGAAGTCAGCTTCCCAAACTCAGGGTGTCACCAGTTTGCTATCACTTTTGGACTTTGGAGAAGCTAAGGTCTCCAGAAATTTCTGCTGACCTCATCTTAAGCCCTGCCTTGGCTCTGTATGGCCCATCAATAGTGGCATGGGCTTAGAGGCAGACAATAAAGATCATACTTACATGGTTTGCATGCAAAAGTAGTGATTTGGAAGCAACCCATTGGGCCAGCATCAGACTTGACATTTAATAAAGCCATTTTTAGATTTATTATTCAAGAACTTGCAGAAAATGATTTGAAGAACTTTTCAAACTTTAGTGAAGTCAGTTGTCCACTGAAATGAGGATGTCCTTGGGATATGAAAGGCAGCCTTCCCTTACTTAGGTCATTATGATAGACACCAGAACAGGCACATGGGGGTTAGTGTTTTACTAACCCCAGTGCATATCAGCTCTGATATGAGGGATCGCTAGGAGTATATCTACCCTTTCCTCTGATAGCTTCTACAACTTCTCATTGGCACACCAGTAGTCTTGGCTCACAGAGGCCACTGGCAGTTAGAGAGCTGGAGAGAGGCTTGCCTGGCCAATTGGGGGATGTTTCAGAATCATTAATAAGGCATGGGTGAAATAGGAGCCAGACCACTGTCTAGTCAAAAGACCAGCATCCCCTGTTACTGCTTATCTGTACCTGTTGTACTGTGGGTCCTAACCTGTAGGCATTAGTTGGTTCTAAGACAGGCTTCCTAGTCTACATAAAGATGTAGAGCTAGCTCTGCTATTTTGGGATCTGGAGAGCCAGGCTGGGTGCCTGTCCCATGTGACAGTTGCTATTGTTCCTTCCACCCCAGACACCCAGTCTCAGTGGGGGGCTCCTTAACCTTAGACTATTGCTTGCAGTTCATCTACTAGGTGTTGTGAATCACCTGCTTTCTTTTCTCAAGAGGGAATAGTAGCTCATTTCCTATTCCCTGCAAGACCTACTTCATCGTATAAGGATGCTTGGAACTATAACCCAGCACTCCATCCCTGGTGGAAGACAACCCCCCCCAACACTTGCCCACCACTGCCTAGCCTACCCCTCAAGATTCACACCAGGTGCCAAGTGCGAGGATCCTCTTCCCTGCATGTGGGCAACCCACAAATGCAGTTCCCCATCCTAGCCATCTCTTCCTCTTCTCACTAGTCTGGGGTCCTAGGAAACCTAGCCTGAGGAGAGCAAGCCCTGAGGTCCTGAGGCTGTTCCCATTTCTACCTTCTTGCCTCCCTGTGGATCCCAGGGTAAATGCTCAATGTCCTAGGCTTCTATTCTCAAAGTTCAGTTGAGAGCTGTGAACACTGGGGTGGGAATGCTGGGGAACATGTCAACTAACTTCTCAAGACCAGGTAAACTTGTCTTTTTTAACAGGAGCTTCATTTACCTGACCATCTGTTCTATCCATCCTGCAGGCTGGAAGAGAAGTCTCTAAGGCTATTGATTTCATGGCACTTCTCTGCTATTTTACTCTTTAGTTTCTCCACTTCTTCTACCAACTCTCTCACCCTCCTGCTTCCAGGGTGGGAAGAGGCAGAACTTTCCCTCTGTTCCTTCCCCAGGACATCTCACGCCTGCCCTCCAGGTCCAGCTACCCTGTTGGAGCTGTCCTGTAGAGGGAGGCCCAGAGGCTTCTCAGTATCAGGCTAAGACTTTGGTCCACCCTGGGCTTGGCAGTAAAGCTGCCTCGATAGCCACCTGCCACTTCCGTTCCATATCCCACCTTTCTCTAGGAGTCCCCATACAACAACTGAGGCAGATACTTTTTTGTTTATTAGTTTTTCTGCTTTTTTGAGATGGGGCCTTGCTGTTTAGCCCAGGATGGCCTCAAATTCACAATCCTCCTGCCTCAGTTTTCCAAGTGTTAGGATTAATCAAGGCATGCATCACTATACCAGGCTCTGGATGCCTACTTGAAATTTTTCATTGCTTTCCTTTCTTTCTGTTTTTTCCTTTCCTCTCTGTCTTCCCTGTTTTAGTGCCAATTAATTCATCTGACTCTCTGCAACTCACATTTTCCCCAGGACTACATTACAGGTTCTTGGGTCAAAAAAAAAACCAAACCCATTTCTGAGTTTTTTCCTTGGAAGTTCAGGGCACAGTGTAACTGGGAATATGCCAGGCAATTGTGAGGGGAACAGTGCATATGTTCCCAGGTACTCTGTGATCTAGACTCACTCTAACAAAATCAATTATCTAGTAGGCCTCAGTGGCCACAAAACACAGCAGAGGGAAACACGCACTAGGTAGATAACAGAGGTGAAGAAGGGCCTTGCAAAAAAGCTATTGATAGGTGATTGTTGGCCTCAGACTAAAAGGCATAGCCCCCTGATTTGGGTAGACCTTAGCCCAGGAAGCCTCTGTGAACTCATCCCCAGCTAGATGGATTCACGGGCAGCTAGTGAATTCACAGGCAGAATCACTCCTTCCCGATCCTCAGGCCTCAAAGATAAGTATCAGTGGTGGTGTTGCCATTCTCTGGAGGAAACTGCGAGACTCAGAGAGGGGAGTGAACAGAGGCCAGTCGTCAGAGGATAAAGGCCACCTTGGAAATGTCTCTGTGGGAATGCCACTCTGGCCCCAGCCTTAGCCATGTATGTACTCACAGAGGCCTAGACAGCACTGCCCAGGAGACCCAGGCAGGGTCACTTGCTTAGAGTCCCTGAAGAAGAGTCATGAGAGCTCAATATTCTATTCCTCCCCAAGAGCTCCCTTGTGCCTGGGGTCCCACACAGCTTGCTCAACTAATTGCCCTCCCTGGTCTCTCAGGCTCCTTGGTGGCTGTGTCATGGAAGCTGGGGAAAGGAGGCTTTATTTAGAACATAGTCCTTACATTGAGCCCTTGATCTCCTGGGACATACTCAGTCCATTGGGTTCATCCTCTTCTTCCTGCTCAGTCTCAACGTCCTTCCCAGCACAACCTCCCAGTAAGGGAGGGCTGGGAAGGTACTGGAAGAGCCGACCATCCCGCTTCATTTCTGCCAGCTCCTTGGCACAGCAGCTAGGTGTGTTGGTCTCATAGGTATCATGGAAAGTGTTGTAGTCCACCTCATAGAAGCCCTTTTCCAAGGTGAGGACTGGTGTGAATCGGTGGCCCCAGAGAACCTCTGTATCCATGTAAGAGCTTCGTGCTTGGCAAGTCATGCCTGGGGAAACAGAAACCACATGCATTAAGATGCAGTCATTTACTGACCCATCTAATTATCCAACCATCCATTCACCTATCTACCACCCACCCATCCAATCATCCAATCATCCATCCAATCATCTATCTATCTATCTATCTCTCCAATTATCCAACCATTTATGTAATCATCTATTCATCATCTGTCCATTTATGCATTCAGTTTAATCCATCTATCCTTCCATCCACTTCAGTCATTCCTCAAGTTTTTCTTAAACATCTACTACTTTGTACCAAGAACCTGGAAGATAAAGCTGAATAAGATATGGTCCTTGTCCTGGAGGAGCTCAGGCTACAGCAGGGGAAGAAAATTAGAAATGAACATGTAAGATTCAGGAATCCATTCCTAGAGACCAAAGAAACGATTTTTGGAACAGCTGGTAACAAGGAAGGACGTGGTTCTGGAAAATAGCATTTAAGATTAGAAAATTGAGAAGGGAAAAGAGGCAGGAAAAGGGTTTGGACAAAGATAATTCAAAGTGAGGCAATGTAGAGAAGCTGACAAGCATTTAGAACCGAAACCTATACACTCCTGCACATATACACACTAGCACATATGCACATGTGTACACATAGCCTTACATACATACACAGGAAGGAGAGCAAACATGCACCCAGCTTGGCTCTGGTATTGAGGGTGCTCTGGTGCCTTCAGTCCCTCTCTACAGAGCCCTGCCAGGTCTGTGTTATTTTTAGGCGTTGCTTTCTCTCCAGAGAAGGAGGGCAGCTTTGTTTATGCATGAGAAAGCTTCTGTGTTCAGGGTCACAGTAAAGCAGATTTTTATTTAATCTTCTGGCCGAAGAAGAGCTTGTGCTCTTTGGGCACTGAGGAAGACAACTTCTCTAGATCCCACCCTGGGTCTTCTCTGGGAAAGGGGGCGTACAAACCAGATCCAGGCCAAAAGGCTTTCCACTCCTCTGTGCTCTGGTGCTGGGCCCCTGAGAACATCCCACACATGGTGGGCTTGTGACCTGCTCTTTGCTCTCAGGGTGATGCCTGCCTTGGCCAGGCCTCTCCATTCAGGCCTCACCCTGGTTGTTTACCCCAAAAGAGGTAGACACACTCAAGCTGGATTGTGACAGTCTAGTCTAGTCCTGGGACTAGTGCCTGCAGGCTCCCTGAGACCCCGGGAAGACAGTGGCAGGACTTCTACTAGAATATTTGGAGAGGCCCTTCTGGGCTTTTCCTGTTCTTCCTTCTCTAGGGAAAGGCAGTGGGCTGTTCTGTAGTCAGAGATTCAGCCTGTGACCTTAGCTGCTTGGGACTTTGTTAGCAATACAATGCACACCTCAGGCACTGTTTCACATGTGGCATTCTATTTGGTCATTTACTCCTCCACAAACAATCCACATAAGATTGATTGGCCTTGTTTGCAGACAAGTCAAGCAACAAGCTCAGACTCACATGTGTTGGCTATGGCAGAGCTGTGCTGCTCAAACTAGCCCTGAATCCATGCCCAGGTTTGGGTCTGTGACCATGACAATGAAAACGCACATTGTTTCTGAGTGAGTGGTCTCCATCTTCCCCACGGTTCCACAGACAGAGAGCAGAAGTAGCTAGCACAGGTTTTTGGAGGGGAAGAGGTCAAGCAGTTAGGATGGGCTAACATGGGCCAAAGACTTTGAGAGAAATGGGGGTGGGGGGACAGCTTCTCCCATTACTCCCTGCTCGCGGCAGAGAGGGCAGCATCAGGGACCGGTGAGGCATCCCTTGCCTCTGATCTCTACTTTTCAGAACTTCAGAGTAGAGCTCCTTCCCCAGAAAGTGAGCTTGTGTTCTGACCCTGACCCTGTTACCAAGGGCAAGGTGACCTGGGAGTCCCTGATCAGCTTCCTGCTTCCTGATTGTCTTTAGTCCCAGGGCTCCTCCAGCTGCCACCATAGGCTGCCTGACCAGGCTCCTGCCCCAGCAGATGGCCAAGCAGCCCCTCTGGCACAGTCCTTAGAGCCCACTAGCATTCCACCTCATTCTACAGACTGAAATTTGAAGGCTTATGGAGACCCTGTTCTAGTTTTCCATCTGGTAAGCTGGTTCCCAAACACTGAGAGGTATTCTGGGCCACCTCTGAGACAAGCCTTTGACATCTTAGGGGCCAACGTGGTGTGTAGAAAAAACTGGAGACCTGTAAACGAAAGGCCTGTATATGAACACTTACTTGCCTGCCTGACCCTTTTGAGGTTTGGTATCCATATCTATAAAATGAGATGGAAGGCACACATACTGTTTGCAAGATTTTGAAGGAAATGTGCTGTATTCTGAGCACTCATGAGTTTTCTAAGAGTCATTAGGGCTGGCTTGCTGCTCAGCCTACTTGGTAGATTAAAGAGAAGGAAAGTAGAAGGAAGACAGAAAATAAGCCTATGTAGGGTTTAGCTGGTGTTCTCCCCTTCCCAGGAATCAGGGCCCCAAGTGTGAGGGTGGGGTCTATGGCTCTCAACCAGAGCTCAGGCCTTCTAAGGGCTCTGAAGCCATCTCAGAGAGCTCTGCCATGACCACATGGCTGAGGAAAATGGAGGTTCTTGGCTTTTAGCTGCTTGTGAGAGTTGGTTGTTGAGCAGGGGTTGTGCTAGGTGTGCACTGTCTTGGGCACACATTGATGTTGTTGCCTCAGCATGGGTGCACTAACTTTTTTCCAAGGAGTTCTGAACACCTTGGATTCACTGAACCAACCTTTAGGAGGAAAGCTGAAGGGCAGGTTTGAGTCCTGAGACAGGACTGCTGGCAAAGCCCCTCATCTATGTCTAAAGTCTTCCAAAATAGGGCTGTGTGGGAATTCCTGTGAACATAGGCAAGGCTGCATACCATCCTCTCCAAACAATGCAACTCACAATATGTACAGGCTGTGAGCTCTTACTCTAAAACACCACCTCCTAGTCAGGCATGGTGGTGCACGCCTTTAATTCCAGCACTTGGGAGGCAGAGGCAGGCTGATCTCTGTGAGCTCAAGGCCACCTGGCCTACATAGTGAGTTCCAGGACAGCTGGGGCTACAGGAAGACCCTGGCTCAAAAAGAAAGCCCCCAAACAAAAACAAAATAAAAAAACACCATCTCCTTCTGTTCCCCCAGGTTTCCCAAAGTCGTTCTACACCTATCCTTGAACAGGAAGCACTTTGACCTGTTGGAAATGAGGGCTGGCTTTGGGATCTCCCCAACTTGATCTGTATGTGGCTGTCACCTTGGTTGTACTTAATTACATTGTGCTTATGTTTCTATACCATAAATTCTATTTTATAGAGGTATGGGAGGGCCCCAAACGAAGCTATAATGTTTGAAGTCTAGAACCATGCCTAGAAGCTGGAAGGTTTGACCTGCGTTAGCTGTCATTAGTGCTCTATCTTAGAGATCTACCCTTTGGATCACATTAGGGATTGAGTGTGCTCACTGGGTTTCTTACACACAAATTTGTACCTTCCAGAGTCATGGTGGCCCAGCTCTGGGGGCAGGCTGAGAAGGGCAGAATATCTTACCTGTTGCTTCCACCATCCCTTCTAGAATGACCACAACTTCAAACTCTTCCTGATCCAGCTGAGCACGAGACATCTCCCAGAAAGGGCTCTTCTCGTTAATCTCGTGGGAGATGATGAGTGGAGATACTAGGAAGAGACGGTCATCGCCAGTATCAAAGCCCACGTTTATGTCGGTCTGGTTCAGAGGGATGAACTCCCCTTCTTTGGTCTGCCGGGACTTAATGAGCTTGGCACGGATGGAGGCCTCCACGATGTGGGAGTTGCGGAGGTCACCCACCCGGAACATGAGGCACAGCTTCTCATCCCGCATGGAGATGACAGCGTTGTTGGAAAACATGAGGGTCTCTGCTCTCTTCTTTGGCTGGCTGATCTTGACAAACATGCAGCCCACCATGAAGGCATTGACGATGGAGCCCAGGATGGCCTGTACCAAGAGGAGTATGATCCCTTCTGGGCACTTCTCTGTGATGACCCGGAAGCCATATCCGATGGTTGTTTCGGTCTCAATGGAGAACAGGAAAGCAGACACAAAACCACTGAGATTCTCAACACAAGGAATCCACTCTTGGTCACCCACATGGTCCAGATCACCTCGGATGTAAGCAATGAGCCACCAAATGAAGCCAAAGAATAGCCACGTGATAGTGTAGACCATGGTGAAGACCAGCAGGTTGAAGCGCCACTTGAGGTCCACCAGTGTGGTGAAGAGGTCGCTCAGGTAGCGGTAGGTTTCCTGAACATTGCCATGGTGCACGTTGCACTTTCCACTCTTCTCCATGTAACGTTGGCGGGGCTTCTTGCCTTCTGCCAGCAATCGAGTGCGATCTGTGGCAATGGGGATGTAGTCCCGTGCCTGTTTGGGAATCTTCTTGAGGTCTCGGGGAGTGACTCCAATCTCCATGTCCTGGTTCATGGCATTCCTAGAATCACCAGCCATTTCTGGGATACGATTGAATTAAAGAAGACACCATCATTAGTGAAGTGCGCTGTCCTGATTAAGACAGACCAGGACTGGTGGCTACTAGAGACTCTTGTAAGCCTCTCCTCTAGTGTGCAGTGTCCTAGACTATGAAATTCCCAAGGACAGGGACGAGGCACTCCTATAACATTCTTTTGTATCCCTGGTTCCCACTGCAGAGTCTAGGATATGGCCTATGCTTAAGAGTTTGTTAAATGAATGAATACTGGGGGTCAACTATACATGAAATGTTTAAGAGACTTAGAGAAATCTAGGAGCAATTTTAAGTATAACAATTGCCATGTTCTATTAAATGCCTACAAATGCCTACTATGTCCATGGATTATTACTTTAAAAAAAATTTAATTTTAATTAAAAAAAAATTATATGTGTATGTGTGTGTCTGTGTGTGAGTTTGTGCAATGAGTGCAGTGTCCAAGGAGACCAGAAAAAGGTTTGATGATCCTCTGGAGCTGGAGTTACAGGTAGTTGTGAGCCACTGACACAGGTACTAGGAACTGAATTCTGGACCTCTGTGAGAACAATACATGTTCTTAATGGCTAAGCCATCTCTCTGGTCACCAAATTGTCACTTATAATCACAATAGCCTGCTGGGGTTAGAGATTGTAATTCTTGTTACATCTTATATGTCATTTCATTTCTCATAGTTCATTAGGATACAAGGTCCACAAGTGCACGATTTTATGTTCATTTGTTCCTTGATGCAGTCTAAGTATCTAGGGTTGATAACCTGGCACCTATTATGATTCTAAAGCACTTATTAAAGGAAGACTGGAAGGACAAATACAGTGTGAAAGGCAATGGTGGCATATGCCTTTAATCGCAGTACCCAGGAGGCAGAGGCAGGTGAGTTTGAAGCCAACCTAGTCTACATAGCTAGTTCCAGGCCAGCCAGGGCCACATAGTAAAACCTTATCTCAATAAATAAATAAATAAATAAATAAATAAATAAATAAATAAATAATTAAAACTACGAGACGTGATGTTGGAATGTCTATTCCCCTGGCCCGAAGCCTACACTCTGTCCTTTATAGCTCTGTCTCCTTCTTTTCATTGAAGACCCTTTAGCAGCAGACAGAAAGGAAAGGGCAGCATGTGTCTGATTCACTGAGTGGTCACTCTTGCTGTCTGAGTAGGGAATCTGGCTGTATGAGCACTTACAAAAATGACAGACTGCTGCACAGATGCACCTGTATAAAAAAAACCTGATCCAGTTAGTCCTAAGAAATTGAGATAGATGGGATGTTTATGCCCCGAGGCTTTCAAAATGACTGCTTTTAGAGGGCATGCTGCATCAAAGAGACTCCGAGACACTTGCAGTATCCAATCTATTGCTTTTCTGACATTTTTCTCAAACCCATTTAAGATGCTTTAAGACTCTGATGAAGACAGGAAAGACTGTGAGCATATCTGACTAGTAAAAACAGCTTAATCAGGAGCCAGGAATTGAGCTAAGAAATGTGTCTCCATTAGCTTGTTCAATCCTACCACAAAGTGATTAAACAGATAGTTATAATCTGTCCAATTTTTCCTTTTTTCAGCTGGAGTTTTATGTTTGTTTCTTAATAAATAAATAAATAAATAAATAAATAAATAAATTAGAGACAAGTTTGCCCTTGTAGCCACAGCTAGCCTAGAACTCGCTATGTAGACCAGGCTGGCCTTGATCTATCTCATAGAGATCTTCCTGCCTCTGCCTCATGAGTGCTGGAGTTAAAGGCCTGCACCGCCAGGCTCTGTATTTTTTTTGAGGCAGAGTCTCACCATGTAGTCCAGGCTGATGGGGAAGTCACTATGTAGCCCAGGCCAGCCTTAAACATGTAGTCCTCCTGGCCAGGTTAAGGTGCTGGTATTACTGGCATATGATACCACACCTGGCTAATCTATCCATGTTTCAGCTGAGGAAATGATGCTCAGGTAGCATGTGGCCAAGTTAGGTTTGGTATCTCATTTTATCTTGCTCTAGCCCAGGGGCTTCATTCACCACAGTCCTTGCCATGTAATATCCTGAAACTATGATGCTATTGCATGACTCAAGCTTTGCTAATGAACTGCTCATTCCAGAAAGTTCTTTGGGCTTTGGTCCTGGGAGATGTCCCCTTAGGGCACACTACCATTCAGACCTTCATTTTTATAAGCAAATTTTGCTAGATACAGCTACACTGTTCCCCAGGTGCATGATTCTCCCAAGTCCCCATTTTCTTTCTTTGTATTGACTGGAAAAAAAAGTATCTTAGCTACTCTGTTACCCTGTCAAGTGAAATTTTTCTCTCACAAGCTTAATCCCAAGCCTTGAATAGCCTCAGGCACTGATAAACTTGTTCAGGTTGCTGCCCAAAGCACTAAAAGACCAAATATGTTGCTAAACACACAGGAGTTAGTCTTAGTCCTAAGACAAAGTTCTTAAACCTCCATAAAACTCCTAGATCCAAGGCCCTCATTGTAGATAGGTAGAGTTTCTCTTAGTTCTGTGTCTATTGGGAGGGTGACTATGTTCCTCTGCATGTAAGATCTCCTACTTAGTATACACTCTGACCAGTCACTTTGAGGGATTGATGTGTTCCTCTTTGGAATCCCAGTTGGCCCATCTTGGCATATTTAGGCACACTCTCTTGTGGGAAGTTCCCTCCCACCACTTTTGAGGTTACTTCAGCTTGGTGTAGATTGATGGAACTCCAGGCAACTGATAGAACTGTTCTGGTGAATGTTATATAAACCGTTAAGTAGCCAACTAGAAATTAGCAGGCTTGGAGGACATTAGGGATAGACCCCTTCCTTAAAATCAACATCTTGTAAAACCAAGCATGGAAACTGTAGGACTCTATTTACTGACCGGAGGAAAGAGACCTGAGTCAAATCTGATCCTGGGAAGAAATGTGACATCTTGAACTGCCCAAGGACATTAATTAGTAACTATCTAAACCTAGCATCAGGAGTACGAACCCTTAGAAGATTACTACCTAGCAGGACACTTTCCGATAGAGAACAAAGACATACTAATGCCTGCTTCTGTAAGAGTCAAACCAAATTGACCTGTCAATCACCTCAACAGGAAAATGCCCCTGGGGAAAACTTATTCTCTTTAACTTACTTCAACTGTCAATGTGATACAAAGATTCTTAATAGAGAGATGGTCCAGATCAGATTGACTTATGGCCATGTCCTGAGAGACTGTGTTAATTGATGATTGATGTGGGAAAGCCCAGCCTAGCCCATTGTGGGTGGCACCATCCTTAGGCAGGTGGGCCTGGACTGTAGAAGAAAGTTAGCTGAACATGAGCCAGAGAAAGAGTTGAAGAGTGAACCAGCAAGCAACATTCTTCCTTGGTTTCTACTTCAAGATCCTGCCTTGAGTTCCTGCCCCAGCTTCCCTCAATGAGGGATTGTGGTCTGGGAGCTGTATGCCAAATAAATCCTTTCCTCCTGCATGGTGCTTTTGGTCAGTGTATTTTTATCACAACAATAAGATTGAACGAGAACAGCTGTCTATTTTAGAGGCATTACAAATAGTATAAAGCCTGCCTAAAATGTCAATTCTCACATTTTGAGGTATCCCATGTTACTCTATAACAAACTGTCTTCTAATTATATTTTCTATGTCTTTTCTGAATTCTTTTGACAGAGATCACAAGACTGAGGAGGTGGGGGGTGGGCAGCACAAGATCCCAGGGATATAGGTCACTAAACTAATTGCCCTATTGTCCAACCAAGGTCATTTTGACCATCCTAAGAAGTCCTATGACTGTAGCATACCTTTTCCTTTGCTGCCTGCGTAGCTGCAGAAATTTCAAAGTAACCTTTAAAATGTCATGTTGAAGAGTCATCTACTCAAAGGGCTATTTGTCTCAGATATCCATCGGCCATTTTCCACTCTGCACAGAACCACCTGTTCCCTGCTCCCACATGTGGCAGTTACAAAGATAAATGAAACAAGGGAAATGTTTGGAGAGTCTTTACAGCGCCCCATGCAGGATTTACTGTGCCCTTAGGTGAGTCTTTGTACCAAAACTCTGCCCAGAGCTCAAAAACTCTGCCCAGAGCTGGGTGAAGTATGCTGCTGGCCCCGAAACCCCTGTGTTCCTGGGGAACCAGCTGTGGTGGCCCACAGAAGGCTCTAGCTGAAGTGCTGCAGTGAATTCCCCAAGCCACAGATGCTGGGCAGGGCTGAGACAGAGCCCTGAGAACAAGTCATGTTCAGGGCACTTGGGAAGGTGCAGTCTCCTGCCCTCAGTTCTGCTGATTTTCTGCACTGCTTCCTTCTTTATTTTTAAACATACTTCATGCCTCCTTGTAGAAGGCAGCCTTGTGATGTACAAGAAGCAGGAGGGTGTTTTCTAGGCCACATCAGCCCAGGTCTGAAAACGTTTTGTGCCTGTCAGACTCCTAAGAAAAAGCTGCTTGTTTTTGATTCAAGATTAGTGCATATACAGAAGTTCTATCTTGTGCCATGCAGGGTATGATGGTTAAGCTCTAGTTCAAAATCACCTAGGTCATTACTGAGACACTCTTTTGAGCCAATCTATGAGGCTGTTTCAATTTACCAAAAGAGGGAAGATCCATTCTGAATTTGACTGGCAGCATCCCAGGGCTTGGAGTCCCAGAGTAAATAAAGGGGAAAGTAGAAAACCAGCTGAACACTGGAATCCCCCTTCCTGTTTCCTGATCTGTCAAGATGTGAGCAAGCTCTCACCACTGGTGTTTGAGCTGCACCTTCTCCGCTGTGGTGGGTTATGCCCTCAAGCCCAGAGCCAAAATAAACCTTTCTTCCTCTAAGCTGCTTCTTCTCAGGTGTTTGATCACAGCTACTTAGACACAGGGTAGGACTTGGATTTGAGCTCAGTATTCAACAGGCTTGCTCTGTAGTCTATAGGAAAACAGTTTTAAACTGTCTGTGCATCAGTTTCTTATGCCATAAATCTCAGGTAATATTTTCAGCCTTTCTAGCTCAGAGAACCATTA